AATGAATGAAAAGAATGTGTTGCACAAAAAAAAAAGTAGTTATATTTTTAAAAGTGACGATTACAATATGAAGCACTTTTTTCATGTTTGTCTTACATTAAAGATACTTTCTAATCCTAAATGCATTTTTTTTTAAAGTTTCAAGTCAATAATGCCAATTTTGCCCTCAATTTGTTTTTTCCTTGTTTTTTTCTGTTCTCACCATTTTTTTGCTTCTCTTCTTCTTCCTCCTTTTTTGCAAATCAATTTGTTGGCTTTTGGACAGGGTATTAGATTAAACCAAAGTTTTATGGTTGGTTTAGATTCATAAAGATGAGTTTATGCTGTAATTTTCTGGATTTTTATTGCAAACCAAATAATTGATAGATTGCACACAAGGTGTTCGGGAAAATGTCTTAAAGACAAAACCAGATTGTTATATGCACATGGTAACTCGCTAATGGACATTAAGCATGTAGCGAGTTAGACATAGGATTTATGGGTTTGTCTAAACCCGCATCGTTGAAGATTGTGATGTTATTAACACATCATATATGGATGGATGTTGGTGGATGGTCACACATGGATGCTCCCTCGTGGATGGTCACACATGGATTGTCCACAACTTCGATTGGTTTGAATCTAAACGGTGTTAACCATATGGACAACGCAATATATGGTCACATTATATCTTTACTAATGTTTAACGTGTTTGAATCCAAGCTGTGTGTAACCTTATGAACAACACAAAATGGTCAGAACATGTCTTTCATGTTCATGGGTACCTTTGTTCAAATCCAAGATGTCAACCAAATTTAAAAAATTGCAAGGAGAACTAAAACAAAGTTTTTACGATTAAAATATCATGAAACATACATTCTCAGTCAAATGAAAACTTGTTATATAATCATGAAGATTATGATGTGGATTTTGCATGTTGGATCTATTAATGTCATGGATACGATCCATCCCATTATGTCCACCGATCCTTATCCACGAGAAAGTTGGATGCGATTCATCCCATTCTGTCCATCGATCCGTATCGACAACATCGTGTCCATGAGACAAAGCTTTTTTCTGGGTTCCAAATATGATGCGATTGTATTGTATCATTGACCATCGATCTGTATCCACGACATCGTGTCCATGAGACAAAGTTTCTTTCCTGGTTTTTTTCTGGGTTTGTCGAAAAAGAAAAAACGTCAGCAGTGGAATCACCGGTTCTCGTCCTCTCTGGTGCCGCTTCTTACTCCTACGAGCATCTACCACCGTCTCTCTCACTTAATTTTATTATTCTACTTCTCAATTCTCCCAATTGCTTGAAAATTGAAATTTTTCAATTCTTCCTATTGCTTGAAAATTGAAATCATCGTGAATTTGATGTAATTCTTATCTCTAAATTTCAGAATTT